AAACAGCTGTGGATCTCCCTCATTCGCGACCTGGAGTTCCGGGGGCTGCGTGATGTGGATCCGTTGGAGCAGCTGGAGGATTGCACCACGGAAGACCTCATCGTCAAGGTCAAGCGCGTCGCGAGCGGTCCACGGACTTGGTTACCTTCGTCGCCGACGCCCCCGAAGCTCGAAAGGGAGGTCCTCGTTACTCTTGGGCCACAGACTTACGAAACCGGTACCATCCTGGAGGTGCTTCCGGGAGGAAAGCACTTTCTTCTCCGTCGACTTCCGCACGGGTCAATCTACGAGATATGGGCGGTCTCGAGTCAAAGCCGTATTTGGTCACGCCAGCCGAAACCTTCGGAACTTTCTGAGATTGAGGTGATGGAGGGAGGGGAGAAGGCCGTAGTCATGTTTGGGGGATCTACAAAGTGCGTCGTCCGGCTCAATTCCTTTACCCAGTTCTCACAACGAGTCGTTCAGCCTGCCATTGCTCGAGTTCATCGAGGTTGATCTTCGCACCGGGGACTCTTTCGTCTCATTCGAAACGCCGATACCAGGTCAGATTGATGTGGCGACGGCGGCTCGATTCCAACTTGTTGGCGAGCACCTAGTCTTCTCCCTTGTCACGAAAACTTTATCGGAGGTGCACGTTGTGAATTGGGCCAATGCTACCTATGTTTTGCTGCAATTCCCCAGGATGGAATCTGTAAGTCCTCCAACTTCCTCAGCCTAACGACGTCTTTGACCGCCGCAGATCGCATGCTCACTCATGCCCGGCTACGTCTCTGTACTCCATTTCAATGCGGATCCCGACCGCCGTCTGTTCTCGTCCGTATACGCCCTTGACTCTTTGGATTGGAAACCCATCGCCTCCTGGGCTCAGATGCTCCCGGACACACCCTCCCCGATCTCGTCTGTGATGCTTCCTATCGCCGAGGTCAACCTCATCACTTCTTTGCAACTGGTCGGCCGTGTCAGCCCATTCCAGCGAGGAGCGTACCGATTTGCTGTGCACGTCGTGACCGAAAAGCCAGCAGCATCCGGAATCATCTCTAGGCTGTGGCAGACGCTGTTTGCTACAAGAGACGAACAACGGATTCACTATTCGCTCGTGTTTGTTCCGCCGAGTCTCGAGATGGTCCCGCTGCACTTCAATTCCGCCCTGCCACGACCGATGTACGGCGTGGCTGCCGGTCGTGGTATGATCATCGTTCTCGACGGTTCCAACGAGATGCGGCCAGTCATTCATTACGATCAGGTCCTCTCCAATACTCCGTTGCCGCAATTGGGAACCCACAGTGCCGCCCTTCCGCTCGTGAAAGATAATGTTTTGAGGATCATGTATTTTGAGTGATGGAGGCGGGTTCAAGCGATACTTCTCTTGCGCACCGAATAAGTTGTGGATGTGTAGACTACTGAATTATTTCTTGGGCGTCCAGTTCATTTTCCAGACTTCGCGCGCGTTAGAGTTCTTGTTATTCAGTTGCATTCATGGTAGCTGGACCCTGGATAAAAGACCGTCTGAATTACGAGTCAACGGTGCTGCTATATTCAATCCGAGAACGGCATGAACGAGAACTAATTCAAGGAGGAATGGGATGACGATAAATGAGGAAGATATTCTACTGTGTACGTAGCCAGACGCAACAGTACCACCGCTTCACGCACCCTCGCCACGTCCTATAATTTCCCCGTTATTCGGGTGGACAATGTGAGAGAGAAATCGGCGTTTGCGGCTGTTGTACATGGTAAGCCGGCGGATTCCACACCGGGAGCGTCGCCTTTGGAATTCTCTCACGAGCGAACTCGTGAACTTGAGGCAAACTCGGGTACGCGGGGAAGAGGGGCGAGGGCATATCGATGGTCAACTCGTACACCCCATCTTCAAGCGAGAAGCCGTGCGGATGGGTGATCATGAGCGGTGGTGTGGGAGGGACTGAGAAAGACGCAAAGTTCAGCCTCGGCTCCGGCTCTGGCGCGGCCAAGTCAACGACCCGGGACTGGTCAAGGGTCGCCTCGTCAAGTCGATTCGCATAGCCGTTGACGCTCGTGGGGCGGGAGGGCTGAGGCCATGAATACATGACTACCGTCGGATCATTGCTTCCCTGGCCATCGGAAGTGGCCTTGACCTTGCCTTTGGCTGGCTTGATAGGGCGGACTGGAGGAGTGGAGCCCGAGACGTACTCGAAGCGCTGCGATTCCTTGGAAACGTCACCAGTGGCGGAGAAGGTAGTTAGAGCCGACTTGACTGGCTCAACCGCAATTTCTTCGGCCAGTTGAGTCTGACCCTGGGAATCATCATCGCGCGTTGGCCCGAGGTCCTCCTGCGTGTCATCGTACGTATATGGCCCAGGATTTCCCGTGAGGATGAGTAGCCTGCTTCGGAGACCATTCGCCGTCCCTGCGTTGCACCTGGAAACGCAGTATGAACACATGAACAGCGGGTGATGGCAAATAGTGAAAAACGCACTTCTTTCGATGATTCGCGAGGCTTTCATGCGTCAAGGTCGCAAAGGTACATGCCTCATACTTGCGACAAATCAGCATCCTACGTTGCAATGAGCCCATGGAAGTAAAGTAAAAGACGACTCTCTCTCTCACCGTTCCGCAATCTCATCATCCGAAAGGTGAATGCGCGCGTGAGCCTCCAGCTGGGGTAGCTTCTCATAGCTCCATAAACATCCTTCGAAGAGACAGCGGTATCGTCTCGGTGGTTGAGGAGGCGGTTCCGCGGGCTGGCAGAGTTGCGTCAGGTCTGCATCGTGGTGGCAAATGTAAACAACTTACGGTGATGAAGCGGACGAACCTGTCCTGAATGATTCTGAACTCCCTGCGCACTTTCTTGCGCGCCATGATGAGCTGAGTATCTGGAAGAGGAGGACGATTTGATGAAAACACTCGGAAAACACGCGCCTTTTATACCCGCGCCTTTTATCCAATGGCGCTTTCAGGATCATGCCACCAATGATAAGCGTGTGCCGGTGTGGTGGCCCATTGTATGTACCATTGTACGCGCAGTAGCCGATTCAAAAAGGGACAGATTGACAAAGAATCGCGGCGATGGCACCACCGATTAAGCAAGACGACATGCCAGGAGGAAAAGAAAGCCTAGCATTGTGCCATTGTTCGTGGCCTGTGCGGGAGGTCGGACGGACAATGCACGGATAAGGGAGCGTCGTAGATGGATTTCAGAGCCAGTCTGCGGCAGAAAGCTGCATTGGTCGGGACCCGTCGGCGATGGGAAGAAGAAAGGAATGCCATCAAATACCAAACAATGTGATCTGAGTCACGGTGTGACGCAGTGACATCTGGCTTGACTCCTCTCCAGCTCCTCTCGCCATGTCTTGGCCATGTCCTCCTCCAGCACTCCCGTCCCGTGCCCCATAAACATTCTCTTTCCGGAAATCCTCTGCTATATCTTCACATTAACCGTCCCCCCGCTCAAAGGCGAGGGCCTTCCGCCCATATCCTGGAAGTCTAGGCGCCGGAAGCCCCCGACCAGGCTCGGTGCCCCTTGGTCTCTGGTCCAGATCTGCAGCACATGGCGCATCATCGCCCTCGAGTATGCCCCTCTCTGGAGTACCATCACCCTGTCGTCGGTGAGCCCTCCCAGGCACTTGCGATATCTGGATGCTCAGATTGAGCGCGCGGGGGCTGCTCCTTTGGACATCCTCGTTCGTTTCACGGGGGAACACGGGTTTGGTGCGCGCCGAAAGACTCGGAAGATTCTCAATAAACTCGTAGAGCGGCGTCAGCAGTGGCGGTCTCTGCATCTCGAGTTCGTCTGGGCACTTCCGCCGCCTGAGCCCTTCAAACAACTGGGATCGCTACCCATGCTAGAAGAGATCATTATCAGCGGGAGGAGCATGATGTATCTCGAGCGAACATGGGAACCCGTGTTCGCAAACGCACGCACGCCCAAGCTGCGCAAGGTCGTACTCGGGGATCAGAGCACGCCGTCTCGACATGTCTCATTCGACTTCTCTCTCCCACTCCCCTCTCCGCATGTCTCACTCTCCTCGTGGGCGGAATTATTGTCGTACAAAGCGACGTTCGAAGATCCGACGATGCACTTTACGAATCTCTCGAGAGCCCTCAACCTCGTCGAGTGTGATATAGACTTCGGAGAACCTACGTGCGACATCGGCGTTGTCTCCATGTTAAAACTCCGGCGGCTCGTCATCACCTCCGGGTCTTTCCTTCCTCATCTCATCGCACCGGCACTCCTCGATCTGCATGTCCACGGCGAGAGGTTGGAGCCCGTCCTGCCTTAGTCTCACGCTCTTCGAGTGCAGCGCCCCAGCCTCGGCGGTCCTCGCAATTCTGCGCGAGACCCCAGCGTTGACGACTCTCGCCCTCGACTTTTTCGGGCCAGCGGCTGAAACCGCCTTGCTCGTCGATGCTCTCACCATCCCCTCGACATCCGAACAGGTGCCCATCTGCCCGCGTCTCACTTCCTTGTCCTGGGGCGATCGCAACGACACGATTGATCGCAAGGCGTTGGTCGATATGGTCGAATCTCGGTGGCGCGCTACTCTGAGACTTCGTTTCGTTGGCTTGTATCTCGGCCGCATCCGTATCAAAGGGTCTGGTTTCCGATTGCAGGCGTTGGCGGAGGAGGGTTTGGATGTTGTTGTGATGAATTTGAAGCGGGGGAAGAAGGTTATGCAGGAAGGGTGGAGAGCTTATTGACGGGGGCTTCTGTTCTTTACCTACGATCGCGGTTTCGGGCGCAAGCCGATTTTCGAATCATTGCCTGATATTGGACAGTGGATAAGAAGTAGGTAGACATTATTGCCCTCCCAGAATCCAGATACGCCAACGCACCTCGCTCCGTGGGGAGAGCAGGGTTCGACTCCCTGGGGCCGTATATTCCCGCTGTGATCTTTTTCTCTCACACTTATCCTCTGGTTACAGTTCAAGACGCGCTCTGATGACTTCCCTTGAAATACATATGCATAGATTGCCCAACAAGAAAATTCCATCGATATCTTGCCTTCTCCTCTCACCACAGGTCTTGACTAGTATATCGGTTTAGTACACCCGCTTGTCATGACGTAGGGACAGAAGTGTTACGCGGGAGAGCAGGGTTCGACTCCCTGGTCGAGAGTCCATTTTACTTGTGCTATCCACCGCCCTGATTGTGATGCTGTATCTTTTGTGTTCCGGATCGATTTTACCGTAGATATTGAGCACAATGTGGAAATTGTTCTGCGTGTGGCTCCTCAAAAATATTATCGTCATACTTCTGCAAGTGCAAGCAGGCGCGGGGAGTCGAACCCCAGATCCGAACTCATATTTTAGACAGTGCAAGGGCGTGTTCCATCCACGACGGTCTGCTGTATTGCAGAAACCCTCTTCTGCGTCTATATAGGTTCCACCTCTCTTGGGAAACTTCGCTTTTCGTACACTTCCGGAAGAATCATAGCACGAAATCCTCTCCAATATCAATCCGTCGTCTCCCGTTGCCGTCGATTTGCCCACTCCGCCTCCGTGCACGATCATCAGGTCTCTTCTTTCTCCAAGCAACTCTCCGCTGCCGCTCCCGCCGAATGCTCGCCATCGTCTTGAATGCCTCGTTGATTTCCAATTCCATCTCCGCAGCATACTCGTCCCACTGTAAACTCCCCCACATCGCTCCACAGTGAGGACAATCATCTTCCCGTTCCCGGCACCCACACCATCTTGGGTGTACTATCCCGTATTCGAAATCCACGGGCCCGTCGGCTGCATCGAGGTAGAACCCATGACCACTGGGGGAGATGTTGTCGAAGAGGGTGTGGGATGGCCCGTCGCAGAGCCATCGGATTGACGGGGCTCGTTCTGGTTGGAAGAGGATCGTGGCGGTGGAAGTCGGGAGTAGTCGGAGGACCAAGTCTTGGACCGCACGCATCGACACGAATCGTACAATCCAGGCATTGTCGACCGATTCGACTGTGATATCCCGTAGTCCCGGCCACAGGCCAGAATGCAATAAATGTTGGTTCCCTCGCGTATCTATCAGTTCGAGGTGCGATATGCCTCGAGTGACAGAGTGCATGAGCTCGACATTCGCACGGCTGAAACACACGTCTTGAAGTCGCAGCTCTCGTAGACAGGCCAAGAGTGGCGGGTTCCACACAGCCGGGCCGTAAACCTCCATCAACTCTTTCTCTGTCTTGTCATCCCCATGAAATCCACCAAGAATCTCGAGGCGTTCGAGATTCGGCATGTCGAAGAGTGCGGTGACGGTTTTGAAGCCTGCATAGCCTCCGTCGTTGCTTCCCCAATATCGGGCGGAGTACAGGCTCACAGCGAGGCAACGGAGGCTGTACGCCTCGATTGGCGGGTGCTGAATGCGGGGGTACAGCCAGAAACCACGGAGGACGAGCGTCCTGAGTTGTGTGGCGGGGTTCTGGAGGAGAGGGCGAAGAAGTTCGAACCCTACTTCCTCTTGTTGGAGATCGATATCCAATGCCTGTAACATGCATGCAGGCTGCAATAGTACGCCCAAATCAGAGCCAAAGCCATCCAGCTTCAGGGCGCGCAGATGGTATAGTCGAGGGAGAGAAACGCTCGTAGGTTCACCGTACGTGCACCACCAAGTCTCGGCGTTGGATAAATGGAGGGATTCGATGCTGGATGTAGAACCCGGTGGGGCTGAAGAAATGAATTGCTCGAAGTGGGCTACGTGAAATGGCCATCCCCGAAATGCCACTGTGCGCCAACGCAAAAGATGTGGGGCGACGATGGGTAGAATCTTTTCGAGGGATACATAGGCCGGGTAGTCCGGTGGGTGAAATCGATTCACATCTCGTGGTTTACGCAAGTACCCCTCGAGATTGATGCTGATGTCCAGTGGGAGGGATTGAGAACGGGCTATGGAGAGGGCGGCCCAGTGTAGCGAGCGCGGACGGTGTGAAATGTGGATGGTCGTCCAGAGCTCCGGGGATTGTAACGTGATGGTACGCCAACGGCGATTCACACGAGCTGTAGTGATTGATGCGGGACGTGCGGCGGGGTGCGCTGGTGCGTCCGAGAAGACCTTGAAGATGATCGCCAGAACTTCATCGGGGAGGATTTCGATTGTCCGAGTCATGCGAGTACAAGGGAAAGCCATCTTTAGATCGGGATGCCAGCTAATAAAGAGAAGGATGACCGCCCGAGATGCTTGTTGAGTCAGTTGCAGCCAGGCCAGCGGTGCGGTGACCTCGGGGTGACCGGTGTAAGGCATAGAGATCCAGACCGCTGTGTTGTCATATCTCCGCTGGGCGGCCGAGTACGCCGAGTGCTCTGCAAACCTCAAGGTGCAAGCCAAGAGCGTCGAGACTGGAAAGCTGTGTACAAGTTGTCTCAGTGTCCGCCAAGCCGGACGACTCGGAGTCACAGCAAGGATGGCGACTCCTCCACGTGGCTAGCCGTCGTCATGGAAGGTTAATCGAGAAGAAGTCGACGGGGCCAGGAGGATCGAGGCAAGCTTGAGTTCTTCAACGCCTGGAGCGCAAATCACTTGACGACGGCGAGAGTCAAGCTCTGTTGATGAGGTTGTGCTCAGTTCGGCAATCATTTTGGGCAGTGCGGCCAGAGTCCAAGTCAAGTCCAAGTTGAAGAAATGAACTGCCACTGTTCCTCGATCACCGAAAATGCATCCTACATTAAAAACAACTGTATCCTATACTACAAGAAGATCCTCAAAAAAAATAAAGACAGATTAATCCGATTCCGTGTGTTCCCTGAGGTATGTACTATGTACTATGTACGGGGGTTCATATATAAGCTTTTGAAAAGGGTATTATATATACTTGACTTCTTGCGCCAGCGACCTAGCTGGGTTAGATACCGTTGACCTCGAGGTAGCATTTATATCTGGGATCGCTGTGGCCCTTCCAGCCGACTGAAAGAGGGGAGACAGAAAAGTGAGAATCGGGGCAAGAGAAGACGCCGGGCGCACTCACCGCATTGCCAGCAGTCCAAGAGGTGGTCAGGGTCGCTGGAAGTAAAGTATCCGAGTCAGTTGAAGTGCAACCTCAAGCCGCGGAAAGACGCACTATTTCTGCTTGATAGAAAGCAACCGCGGGTAATTGTCGCCCCAGAAAGACTGCTCAAAATCGGGCTCGTAAAGGTCCGCCTCGTTCTAAAGGTAACCATGAGTCAAGCAATCGGAAGGTGCTTCGTGCGAGAAACTTACTTGATACGCGCCCGAATTAGGTGCAAGGGCTCTGAACGCATCCACCCCGCTCGACAAGTCGGAATAGATCTTGGTCAAGGATGTAGCCGTTTCGTTGAAATTCCACGTGTTGGCAAGGGCAAGATGCCAGAGGGAGTCGTACCACGCAGGCGTCACGCTGGTGTCGTTATTGTTACCGTGGTAGAAGGGCGCCACACCAAAAGCGATGGCGACGGGCGCTTCGTCAATGATGGCGGTCATAGCCTGGGCTAGATCAGCCCGACCTTTCGCGGTCTGGAAGTTGGCGACGGGGATCAGGCGAGAGGCGGTGGTCATCGCAAAACCGACGGGCTGTGAAAGGCGGAACTTGAGTAAACCAACGCGCTGAGGAGATCGTGGTACTCACGACGGGGATTCTGGTAACGTATTTGGGGTAGTACGTCTTGTAGTCGGGCTCGACAGTCATCTCCCAGGTAGAACCGCTGCCCGTGAAGTTCTTGGTGATCAGCTGCTTCAGACCGGCGATCGACGCTTCGGCCTCGGCCTGCGAGAGAACGGTGTTGGACATGGCAATGCCGGGGAGAGTGGGCTAAATTAAGATCAGCTTGAATCTCGACAGAAGCTGAAACAAAGGAGTATTCACGTAGAGCTAAAGGCGAGACGTGAGATAGAGTCTCAAAAGAGCAGCCGAGTCAAACGTACGTAGTATCCCCATCCCTGCTCCGCCAACGAAATAGCGTTGTTAACCATGAACTCGAAGAACGCAAGCAGCTGTCCGGGTACGGAGTTATCGACGTTGGCAAAGACAGCGTTGACCTTGGTGGCGGGGAAAGTGAGAGTAGTCATGCTGAGGGTAACACCGAAGGTTCCTCCTCCTCCACCGCGCATAGCCCAGAAGATATCGGTGTTTTGACATTCGTTGGCGATGAGGTGGTCTCCGCGGGGTGTGACGACTTCAATTTCAAGCTACACATAACGTCAGGAGTGATCGTAGAAGAGAAACGAGATAACGCACGACACGGTCGGCAGCCAGTCCGTAGACGTTGGAAAACATCGAGTGGCCTCCACCCTGGGGGTACCCACCGGCAGCGCCGACGGAGATGCATCCTCCGGCAGGGATCGTGAGGCTGTTGGTGTCGGCAAAGTCGATGAGCTCTTCGTAAATCACACCGGCCTTGACTGTGGTCAATATTATCGAACGAGGAAAAGTCGAATCACCCACCCCGATGGTAACCGCAGTCCTCGGCTTGACGGTCTTGGGGCAGTTGGTCGGGACGAATTTGGGCGCATTGGTGATGGATTTCAAGCCATGGGTCTATCGGAGTGGAATCAGCCAGGATCTTGTGCGAGGCAGGGAGGGAAGTAAGCGTACCCAGATGGCGAGGGATCCTGGGTTTCCGGAACGGCCCTTGTATTCGTGCTAATACGGCGCTGTGAGCGGATCAATGCGGAGAGGATGGAGCGAATACACACCCCAGTGCCTCTGACGACGAGGGGGACACCGAATTGTTTCGAAAAGGAGTATGCGGCGAGGACGTCTGAAGCACCGTTGACTTTAATCTGAGAATCGTGATGGTGGGTGAGAAGGAGAAGAGGGCGATGATGAGTATCATTACTCACGCCGAAGTCCGGCACGGAGCCTTGGCTGCAGATCCGAGCGGGTGTGTTAAAGGCACGTTGATCGGTGGCATTCTGGTAGTCGAGCAAGCACTGCTCGCTCGTGGCTTGACATGTCTCCCATTGGGTCTGCGTCGAATATGTTAGACGAGTTTCTTGAACCGCAGATATTATTTCGACGTACGTTGATGTACCCGCCAAGGCTATCTTGTAAAAGAGCTACACAGGGTTGGCGCATGATTTGAGTACGAGGACGACCAACTCACTGTGGTTGACATAATTCGCCTGGACGGCCGCACAAGCAGCAGCGTCCTGGGTCCCGCCGACTCCAGATGTAACGTGGGCGA